GCTGCTTCTCCTTCTTCTTCTTCTTCTTCTTCTTCTTCTTCTTCTTCTTCTTCCTACCTAAACCTAACCTGAAAAGCAACACCCTCTTCCTCTTTCTCTTCGTCCTCTGCTTCCTCTTCTCCTTCTTCTTCTTCCTAAACCTAGCCCTGAAAAATAACACACTCCCTCTTTCTCTTCGTCCTCGGCTGCTTCCTCTCCTTCTTCTTCTTCTCCTTCTTCTTCTTCTTCTTCCTACCTAGACCTAACCTGAAAAGCAACACACTCTAACTCTGCTCTGTTCGGCGCGCCCTATATACCTATAGCAGGCGCGCAGATTTCGTTCGCTGACGCAATCACTGTGGTGCAATCGTTTCACCCTTCTGGCGCAAGCCGTTGCTGGATTATTACATTATCTTAGGTAACCCGTGCCGGGCACGGCGATTGCATCATCCCAGGCAAATCATGCCTAAGTAACTATTCCTTGTTTTCCCCCGACAGGCAGCAGCACCAGCAGTGATAGCATGATGTCAAGATGGCCGCGCCCAGGCGTTGATATTTACATGCTGTCTATATTTTATCCTGCCTTTAGTCTATATATATATGGTTATTCTCTCTATACTGTGAGTTCAGTCTGTCCATCCTGATCTAGTCTACTACTCCTGTAAGTTACACACCCCCGAAATCTCCACACTAGCTCATCTAAACTCTCAAATCGTGAATTTATTTCCCAAGGCGTTATTTCGAAATTTGGCGCCACCCGCCTCCATCTTTGTCTCGTTAAGTATGAAAGCGGATGGACTGCCGTACCTCCAGCCTCGAAACATTATGATACGGCTGCCGTACCCGTAGCCACAGCCAATGCTTTTTGTAAAGGTATAATGAGGGTATACGTATAAACAAGGTTTTTTCCCTTCTCATTTGGCTGGATATTTTATTATTTTTAGCTATCGTTGATATTTTGTATTGCGCATAGGGGACGCGCGCATACGCACACTCTATAAGCATATCATTGCAGCTGATTTTTTAGTCGTAAACGCAGATGTTTGCCCGCTTGATAAGAATAGTCAACAGTTGGGGCTACGTGACCGAGCCGGGGTTGCGGGATGGCGGTGGGTGGGCAGGTAGACATGAGTTCATCGGGTGAATCAACGTGAAATGACAGGTGCGATAAAGCTATCATTAGCGATGGCTGGATTTTATAGTGCACACGAACTGAACTCATAAGAAATTTGGCGAGTAGAACAAGAGCCGCAGAGCGTCTGGGCTCATCTATAGATAAATATGTTAAAGAATGAATAACATCGTCAAATATTTTAATATTGTTTTCCGATTTTAATGATATAAATTATGCTTCATACGTTATTGCCATTCTAGGTATATTCTCTATCGTGATCTAATAGGCCTATGTACGAAGCAGTTAATCCTAGAATCTCTACCACCCTAAGCTATATATCTATGAAGATCAAAGATATGTGTCAGTATTCTATTAATCAGATGACCGTTTTTGTGGTTAAAGACTTGACAAATTTTGTAATATAAATTCGCATGATTCCGTTATATAGATCACATAATGTCCAGAGACTAATAAATCAACAGACCACGCAGTTTACATTATGTACAAATAGCAATTTATATCAAATTAATTATAACGCTGATTTTGCACCGACAAACTACATCTAATTAATCGCTCACTTTTAATCTAAGCCTACTACGAATCTGACCTCTCAGTTAAAATTATCCATCTTATAGATCTGTGTAAAAATGGGTTTAACGCTACTGCTACACCACGTCCAACGTTCGCGCGCGTGTAAAATGCTGTATCGATATTAAAATATTCTGCGATCGCAATGTCTCTCGTTGCCGCTGCACGCACAGGCCGTTTATTTGATAAACCAAGCAGCGACAGAGATGGCTAGAACCGCCAGCAGACCGATTGATTGCTTGGCCGATCCAGCACGGCATCTTCGGGATCGGTTTCATTCAATGCTCGAACGAATTCGCCGTTGTCGAAGTATCGGAAATCCTCGTACCAGGTGGCGTTGGAGGCGAGATCGCTTAGTTCGGTGGTGCTGTCCGTAAACATAGTGTCGGTGGTGTTGTACGGCGATCCGTACAGCTGGAATTCACCTGAGTCCTTGGTGGTAGCTACAGAGATCGAAAAAAAGTTAATTAACTATCGTGCAAACACCGTGTATAGGTAATTAGGATTTAGCTCAAGTGACAAACCCCTAACGCATCTGTACGTGGCGTTAGAGACAGAACGCTTTTAGCCAGCGAGGTTCCGGTTCCGGTTCCGGTACTGGTGCAACGTCACTTCTAGTGCTATGCAGATGGGCGCATAGTTCTACTGAACGCTATCGGAGCGTAAATTTAATATTGACAGTTTGAGCTCTGAGACAACAGCACAACTCATTCGACGCTCCAGTCTTTTGGTTGTCGATGAGGTCACGATGGCCAACCGCAAAGTCTATAAGGCTGTTAACAGAACATTCATAGACATCCGAGAAAATGATCGCACTTTTGAAGGCATCCTTTACAGAAATTCTTCCTGTTCTTCGCTGGGGCAGTCGACCAGAAATCATTGATGCATGTCTTAAAACTTCTTCACTCTGGCAGGATGTCACAGTCATGAAACTCGTAACCAACATGAGAGTTCAGTTAAGTGGAGGTCACAGGTATGCTGACACACTGCTGTCTATTGGTGAAGGCACTATCCCTGTGGAAAAAGAACTTGGTAAACACCAGATAAGACTTGATGCAGACATGCTTATTGAAGGAGGGAAACTCACTGAGCTGTGTCACTTTGTGTTTGACTCGCTTGACAGAGATTATGCTTCTCCACAGTGGCTCTCTTCACGTGGGATACTATGCCCAACAAACCAGGCTACAGATGATGTAAACAATATCATGATCGACAGGTTTCCAGGTCAACCCAGAAAGTACATTAGCTCTGACAAGCTCCTAAATTGTGAGAACCACCAGCAATACCCAGTGGAGTTCCTCAATACACTATCTTCAGGGATGCCGCCACACATTCTTTGTCTGAAAGAAAAGTGTCCAATCATGCTTCTGAGAAATCTTGATCCTGCAAATGGCCACTGTAATGGAAAAAAATACGTGATCAACAGCATGCATGACCATGTGATTGAAGCAACTGTTGCTATGGGTGTCCATGCAGGAAGGCACATTTTCATTCCTAGAATTCCCATCTCACCTACAGACACAACTCTTCCATTCAAAATGCAGAGACGCCAATTTCCAATCAAACCATGTTTTGCCATGACAGCCAATAAATCACAGGGACAACCCCTATAAAAAGTTGGGCTTTACCTGTCAAAATACTTCTTCTCCCATGGTCAACTGTATGTTGTGATGAGTCGGGTTGGCGACAAGAAAAACATCAAAATACTCACAAGGAATGGCCAATTCCCTGAAAAAGATGGTTTCTACACTGATAACGTTGTGTACCATGAAATTCTTTCATAGATCTTCTTCACATAACTATCTGATTGTACAGTGTAATTTAAAATGCCATTTTGTTATGAAATGACTCTGGCAGCAAATAACTTACACCTTTAAAGTTACATGTATTTCCTCTTTATCTTTTCATCAGAAACATGGAGATCACACCGAAAGAAGTCATTACTAAATCACTTCAAGAAATCATTGGAATATGTACGCGCACAACATACAGACAATACACGCCAGAAGCAGAGATCCAAAATGTGATCAAGGTCATCAGTGAAGTAGAACAATTCATGAAAAAGATGGAAGAGCAACACCACGAAGAAAAAAACAAGCTCATGGCCAAGAATCGCGATCTCACTAAAAGAGTCCATGGCTTTAAACAAGAACTAAAAAAGGCCCAAGAAAAATTCACCAAGGTCAAATTCGACCTTGACTCATCCCAGGCAAGCTTTCAAGCCCTCTACGAAGATGATGACGATTTTAGTTCTGTTGAAAACGAACTAAAAGAAGCCCAAGAGGAATCCAGCAAGAAACAAGATGACCTTCACTCTTATCAAATAACCTTTCCATCCCTCTGCAAAGATGATGAGGATTTCACTTCTGTGTAATTGGAAAGTTTATACAATGGACTAAGTTCATCCATACCTATGCAATTTGGTGTTTTGTTTTATTTTTGTTTTTATAACACATGAGGAACATGATACAACTCTCAGTCATACATTTTTTGTTGTGATATTTTTCATTACTTTTTTCCCTGCTCACTTATAGAATTGCGCTCTTTTTTTCCTTCCAAAATGTTTTTTTCTTTGTTTTCTTTTCAGTTACATGAAATATTTAACTTCATCTGTGTCACTTACATTAAGTTTATATTTAAAGACAACATTTGCTGGTTCTACGGGTATATCTGCTAGTATAGATAATCTCGCTTGCAGACGAAATGACGTATTTGACGCATGAGTACAAAAATAATAATAAATCAAAAGATAAAAAACATTAAATATAAAAAATAAAAAGTAAAAAGTAAAAAATTAAGAATAATACATACTAAAGAGGTAGGTAAAGGAAAACAAAGGAAAAAAGGAGAAAACAAGTTCCCCAGCTGTACTCGAACTCGGAATCCCGGTGTAGGAGACGGATGTTCTAGGGATTAAGCCACTGCGCCGTTAAGGGTATATACATAGATTCACACGTACGTGATGTTAATCTGTACGCACCGCCATCTATTGATGAATAGAATTTTTATGAATTTTTAACTTTGTAACTTTTTTTAAATTTCGGCCAGAACCACCTCCCATACATGCTGATTCTAAAAATATCTTTAGTTTTCCTCTAGGCTGCGGAGTTCTCTAGTTATGCGAGTACGAACTAATTCGGCTGAACAACTTTACATATCCTTATAGTCGGTTTGCCGACCCTATATGTCCTATATGGGACCCTGCAATGTTAATTACTCTAAACTTTTTTCATGGAAATGTGTTCTATATAGTTAGGAGAGCTGATTTAGCCTGTGGAAGGCTCGATGAAGACGAACAAGAACGCAGTTACACCTGGTCTTAATGTATGAGATCCTTTATTGATCAGCATTCAATTCTGTGAAGAATGAATAAACAAAAACAGCTTTAGGTTGAGGTTCTTTAAACAACACTCAACAGAAACACAAATCACCCATTCGTATATTGCATAATCTCAGTTAAACATAAATAAACCATTTTGAGTTGACATTCTGTCATTCATAGATACATAAAGATGCTAAGACATAAAGATATGCATAAATGCATAATGACACATTACCGAATGTCACAAATTAACTTACTACTGTGACCGGATGTAACTGCCATTTTCTGATAAACCCAATGTGGTGACCTGTCACACAAAGGTCGGTCTGGTCACTTCAGCCGGTAATAAATCCTGTCATCCAATCATTAGCATCATAAATACCAGATAAGCTGGTTAAATTTCACACTAACTCTCTACAGTACTGCAACTTGCCGTATAACATTACAGTCAAATGCCAGCTATAAACATGCAGTGTGCTTCACGGTAAGCCTTGGCCTTGAATGGCTTAGTATATGCCATTTACACGCGGCTGTGGTCTATCGACTGCAGCATTATAAATGCTGTAATTCACTAAACTTTTACGATTACACATTGAGCGTTACATGTTAAACAGTAACATATTACATCCTAATACCAACGTTTACATATTGAACAACTTATCGTGAATCAAATTGATACAACTCACCTAACATGTTACCACAATGGCACCCGGGCTCAAATGGGACAAAACATTAGCTTCGAGCGCACTCTTGTTCCCCGGCTTGTGCCTCAAAACAGCACCAGTGCCACCTCTCGGTGTGAGATCCTATTTTCGCTCGAAAACGCCTGATTGCTACCTGTGCATCGTTGAGCATTTCTTGGAATTCAAGATGGCCGCCGCCGTCGATCTTCGATTTTTGTCAATTTACAATTTGTGATCTCGATGTCCTAGAGTGTCATGCAATACAACTTTTTAGGAGGTTTCGAGGGCAGGGAGTCCATTTCTGGTATTATTTTTTGGATATGGGGTCAAGGTCGAGGTTAAAATAAAGGTCAACGGTCAAAATAAGACACTTTAATGTAAATTCACTGTTCACAGATAGTAGATAGGCATATTTCAACGAGAAAATAGCAAACAGCCTTAAACAGTACACAATAATCAACGCAATCGATGTTTAGCAAGACATTCTTCTCCTTGGCGAATAACTTCATCTCCCTGCACCTCTCCATGTCTAATTTGTTAGTTACGCACCAATTCACTGTAAAATGAAATATTGGCAGAGCGTATAGTCACTATACATTTAGCATGCAATTACTCGAATAACATCTGTAGTTTACGAGATCAAGCATATAGGCTTACCGCAGGTTAGCGCGCGTGATAAACTTTTCACTCTCAATACACCTTAAACGCGAATGTAATCCAATCTAGCAGATCAATCACGAGATCAATTAGAGGGGAATCTATCATGACGCTTGAAGCCAAGCAAACTAGCTCATCGTAACATGCTTTCAACGCGATTCTAGCGCGACAATTGCTACGTCTAGGGTGCGCGCGAGAGTGTCAACAGCCGACGAGATACAGTGCTGGCCGCAGCCCGCTGGGGGGGGGGCAAGGTACAAGTGTGGCGTGCAAGGCGTGGCGTGTGTGTTGACTCATCTAACGTCGTAGTTTACGTCGTGGTTACTCAGCTAACGCTCAGCTAACCCTTATCCAAAATTACCTGGCAGATATAGAACCGGCACCCATGATTTCAATCCGCAGTAGAACAGTCACGAGCATTTAATAGCACTAATAATTATAATAATGATGATGATAATAATATATCGATATAATTATGTCGATATATTAAATAAATACTAATGCTATTGTAGCGAATTCGACCCGCCGTACAACATACACTATAGCATGCGTCAGCAATACTTCAACCTTGGAGACGTACGGCTTCGTAGCCACGTGGCCTAGCAGCGGATTGGAAAGGAAAAACATGCTACACCACTTGACCTATGGTTTAATTGGACGGGACAAATGCATGTCACACGTGGGGGTCACATGACTGTGACCACGTGATGTCCCACGGCTGTATATAAGCTGCGGCGTCCGGCTCCGAAGCAACACAGAGCCAGCTTGGCTCAGTCAGGGAAGCTCGCACCCTCCCACTGCTCTCTAGCTGCTGGTGGCTTGTCCGCCCTGCTAGCTGACCATTGGGGTGTAGCCGACTAGCTAAGCACTGTTCATTACTGCATCCGGGCCTTCAGCACAAAGTAACGTATGATCACGGGGTGTGTTTTATCTGCCGCTGGACTGATGGTCAACGGTGTGTAATAAAAGCCCCGGCATACCCGGTGTGAACACCGTTACTTTGTCGTTTCGTCTTAGGAGTTGCGTGTGGATTCCGTTAATCCAGTGGTCGTTCCTGTCAAGAAATTATACCCGGGCCGAACATCAGGTTTGCTTGTTTGGTTGTGTGTGCGCGTACCTGCGTGTTTGTATGGGGCTCGGCAGTCATCGGGATCAGTTTCATTTAATGTTCGAACGAATTCGCCGTTGTCGAAGTATCGGAAATCCTCGTACCAGGTGGCGTTGGAGGCGAGCTCGCTTAGTTCGGTGGTGCTGTCCGTAAACATAGTGTCGGTGGTGCTGTACGGCGATCCGTACAGCTGGAATTCACCTGATTCCTGGGTGGTAGCTACAGAGATCGAAAAAAAGTTAATTAACTATCGTGCAAACACCGTGTATAAGTAATTAGGGTTTACCATACAGGTAAGTAGGCTAGTATTTAAAAGTAGGCATAAAACGCACCAACTCAGAATAAATGTGAACTCAGAGCGGAGTGTTAAATTTGTCACCGCATGAGCATTAAACGTTAGTAGAAGCAGGGGGGGGGGGCTAGGGTTTTCAAGTAAAAAATGTACCATTTCCCAGATCCCGGTTAATTAACCAAATCGCAGTTCCGTTTTGAGGTTTCCGGTTGACGTCTATCCTCAAATCATTATTAATTCATCAGGTATTTCCTGCTTCCCAGATGTGATCCAATCCCAGGAAAACAACCGTTCCCACCCTCACAGTTAACCTTCGCCGAGTGTCGCGCCGTAAGAATCTAACAGTTTCTCACAATCTGTTCATCAACATCACTTGTGATGCTTCCACGGCACGGTGAAGCTGCCCTCAAAGCAGGTGCAGCAAAGAATGTGGGCGGGAAAAGGAGGGTGGCGTATGTGGAGCTAAGAAGCACCAGCCTATGTGACAGCGGCAAGCTGTGCTTATAACAGGTGAAGGATGTGGGCGAAGGGAGGCAAACGTTACATGCGTGGAGCATCAGGCGTGAAGCATCAAGCTTTATGACAGCGGCAAGCTGTGCTTACTGTAGTAGTAGTCGTGCGCCGTCTTCAGCAGATCTATCATGATCCACCTGTCTTCGTACGGCTTCTGATCAAACGTCAGCAGGCGATTGCTCGGCGTCAAACCGGCGTTACAATTAGCACCCGTATCGCTGACTTGGCCGTCCCTAGATGTAAGCATATACCAGTAGGTACCGAGGGAGTCGACAAGTATTGAGCGCGCCATCTTGAAATTTTCTGCGTTGCGCAGTGAAAGCATTGTCCAAGATAACAGCATACCGGCAAAGGTACTTGTAGTCGCTTTTAATCAAATTCTTTGCCCAATCATCTTGGTTTCTGCCATCGACGTTCTCGTCGACTGTCGTGTCCTTGAGGAAAGCTACATCGCACGCATCCAATTTTTCTATATTATATATCATATTGATCGCCGATGAGCACCCGGGGTCGTATGTGTCTATGGCGGTCACAACGGTTCATAATTTCCGTTCACTTCATGCAATGCGTAGCGGTTCTACTGTACATCCAAATACTTACGCTTATACACGTCGTTTGCCCAATTTCCCGGCGCGCAGCTTCCGCTGAAGTATTGGTGCGCGTTCTTGAGGTCGTCGTGACATGCCGCCACGATCATCTTCTTGTTCTTGGCAAGCAGCGACAACGGCATGTCCCAACCTGCAGGGTCGTTAACGGCCCCGGCGTGGCACGACCGCTTATCTTTGATATCGTTAATGCTGGTCACTCCGGATGCTACCTTTGCTATGGCCACGGCCAAGTACTTGTAAGGTTTTGCTGCCAAATACACAAGCGTTCGTGAATACACATCACACCATTAGTCACAGTACGCTAATTGTACGCACACGTACGGGAGTAACTGAACAGTACGCGATCACACGTAATTACCATTAAATTCTTCTCTCGTCAATGGTTCCATCATATACCGCGTCGCAGCAATATACACCTCCTCCGGCCGTAGCTTGATGATGTCTGCATCCGTATCCTCGATCGCCCGCATGCAGCCGAAGACATGTTCGCGCTAGAAAACGAAAACGGAATTACATACTCTATGGATCTGTTCTATTTTCATGTAGTATAATCTCGCTTGCGGACGAAATGACGTATTGGACGCATGCAAAATCACGAGTGTAAACCATTTGTGCACGAAGTGAGAATTATGTATATATTCTGTGTCAAGAGATGATATATTTTCAAGAGTTTTGCTGAACTGAAACGTTACTGACGTGCGGAATTATCTTTCATAAAACGTAAGCGGTCTCATAGATATTTCTACCTCAACACAATCGATGTTTAGCATGATATTCTTGTCAATGGCGTATAAGTTCATCTCCCTGCACATGTCCATGTCCAATTTGTTAGTTACGCACCATGTCACTGTAAAATGAAATATTGCCAGAGCGTATAGTCACTATACATTTAGCATGCAATTACTCGAATAACATCTGTAGTTTACGAGATCAAGCATATAGGCTTACCGCAGGTTAGCGCGCGTGATCAACTTTTCACACTCAACACACCTTAAACGCGAATGTGATCCAATCTAGCAGCATGTAGTGTTTATGTGAACGATCGACGTAAAGGCGCAGGCAGGGATGAAGTACGTGTTTGTGAATGGGCTTCAGGCTCATATATTCTACACCGTGCGTTCGAGCGTCAATGGTGTGCTGATGGCTAGTACATACACCTAGTGCAGTCGTTTTATGTGAACGATTCGATCGTAAAGGCAAGAGCAGGCGGAGCTGAGTACGTGATTTGGATTGGGTTCAGCCTCGTAATAATCTACGTGCGTTCGAGCCGTCAATGGTGTGCTGAGGCTAGTACTACTACTAGTAGTGTTTATGTGAACGATCGACGTAAAGGCAGCAGGGGAGTGAGTACGTGTTTGTGATGGGTTCAGCCTCGTAATTCTACCGTGCGTTCGAGCCGTCAATGGTGTGCTGAGGCTAGTACTACTACTAGTAGTGTTTATGTGAACGATCGACGTAAAGGCAGCAGGGGAGTGAGTACGTGTTTGTGATGGTTGCACAGACTGCGTAAAATTCTACCGGCGTTCGAGCCGTTCAATGGTGTGCTGAGGCTAGTACTCACTAACTAGTATGTGTTTAATGGTGAACGAGATCGACGTAAAGTGCCTATAGAAAGAGGGAGCACTGTAAGCTTGAGTGTAATGTCTACGTGTGTGCGCATCTGGTGGGTCAGCGGTGCGACCTCTAAGCGAGATGGTGGGAGCGACGCCGTGTCCGGCCGAGCGGCGGCCATACTCTAGGCAATAAATCGGGACCCGACCGGTCCATGCATCTACTCCTACATCTATCTCGCGCTTATCTCTCATCGCCCGTGCCAACTACCGGCGAAGCCTGGTTGGGCCGTGACACCCGCCGCGGGTCGTAAGAGGAAGCCGAAATTCCGTCACAGTACGTTACTCGCGCAAGCATGGCGATGATTTACGTTTTGAATTCATTGAT